AATACATATGTGTACTTTTAATACAAAATTAATACTGAGACAATCAAAGAAGGTTTATTGTTCCAGTGTGCTTCATAGCAAATACATTGTGCGAAAATTAATAGCTTAAAAAGGGTGTAGTCTTTTTAAAATAATAAGAATATTTTTATTATACATACTTGTTTGTTCCTCGTATCAAAATACGTAATGGCAGACAATCAGCATGCATATATTTATTCATTTACCATCAAGTCATGTGACACATATAGCCACTTCAACTTTCAAGCAGTCATTTATAAAAATAGATGTAATGTAGTGTAGTGAATTGTATAAATATATGTTGTTGTGTTATTTATATTTAAATTTATTTAATAATGTTGTTATAATGCATTATGAATGTTTATTATTGTTTGAACACATAATACTTGTAATATATTAGGCAACGATTTGTTTAAAAATGCGGATTAATATAAGAATGTGTATCGAGAACTAAATTTCCTATTAAAATGCCGTAAAAACAGAAGAAAATGCCCCTAGCTAAAGAACCCCTTGGGAAATTTAATGAAGTTTGCCAATGCACTTAGCAGGAGTTCAAGTAACAGTATGGTCTTTAATTGTTTGGGGGTATTTTATATTGTTTAAGCTGTATCTTGGGAACAGACATACATGTTAGAGTTCTATATATATATATATATATATATATATATATATATATATATATATATATATACACGTGTTTGAGTTGCTCTGCCTATTTTGTTTTTATTTTTTATTAAACAATGAAATGAATCGAAACCAGCCGAAATTGAAGCCCGGCTAAAGAAAAATTGTCCTTTAGACAGGAATCGAACCTGCATCTCTATTTTCCATGAAGGAAAAATACTTTTTTAGCCAAAGTTTGCCTTTACCAGTTGGGCAGCGGACCAGCGTCACACTTATTAGAAAAATCAAATAAAAGATTATACAAAATTAAACCATGTACTTTGACCCAAGCGATTCGTTCTCTAATGAACATTATCATGGAAAAAAATTATTGGCTGTAAGATTTTGGCTTTATTCATATTGACATTTTAGAGATATATTTCCACACACACCCCCACCCACCCCCACACACATATATATATATATATGCATGCACACACACATATAGTATTATGGTATTCTCTGTTTATGGGTAAAAGTGCACACTATGAGGCGATGTAAATATAAAAGTGGACACTAAGGTCAATACCAAATAGTGACAGTCTGTTTCATGCTTAAACGTATTCTTCAGGCCATCGAGAAGATTGAGTAAAGCATAAAAATGACTGTCGCCGTGTTGACGTCAGTGTTCCCTCATTTTTCAAACACGGCCAGCACATTGGGATCCTGTTCATAGTTGATGTTTCTGGCGTTGGCCTTTTCTTTTTTAATCATTTGTTATTGCATTATTTTTAGCCATTTTTAACATCTGGATGAGGCTATTATAATTGAATTTTCTACTAGTATGTTGTGGATGAAGTTTGCTAGGTTTCAAACTAGTATGAGTTTAAATGAGTTCTAATTGTGGAAATTTTATATTATATATATATATATATATATATATATATATATATATATATATATATATATATATATATATTGATATAATACTACAAGCCTAACAAAAAATACTCACGTTCACGTTACATCTCTCTGACCATAGCTCAATTAGGTCTATCCACAACATACTCGTTGATAATGCAAATATAATAATATCATTGACATGTGATAAATCGCTAAAAATAATGGAAGCACTATTAATAAAAACGAAAATGCAAACACACGACGGCCTCGACTATGAACACGGCCACAATATTTTGACCGTGTTTAGAAAATGATAACTCTTGATACATACATAAAAAAATGATTACGTTCAGTTAAAAGTAAAATTTAAATCATCCTTGAAAAAAAGTAAAAATAAAATCATCCTAAATGAATAGCCGAAAGCACTCTGATATACAAAACACTCGGACAATTTTATGCATAATTTTTTTAATTTTTATTTATTATTTTTCTTTCTTTTCTTATATATTTTTATTTTAATCGGTGTTTTATTAACGTAATAAAAATTTGTTTATATCGCTTATTTAATAGTTGTGTTTTGGTTTGGGAAGACAATTAAAGCTATTTATTCAATTTTGGGGTTGATTGCTGTAGTTTATTCTAACTATTATTTTGGCGGGTGCAGTTTTTAATTTACTAGTTTATTACTTCATTTATTTATTTGGATTGATTATCTTTACTTGTTTTTTCTAACGGTTAATTTATCGGGATCGGTTTGTTAGTTTATTTATTTATTTGGATTAATTTACTTGTTTTTTATTATTTATTTATTATACTATATATTTTTATTTACTCTTTTCGGTTTTCGATTTTTAAGTAACGTAGTATTTTTTTATCGTTATAGCTATGTTTTCCGTCCGATTTTTGGTTTGATTTTATAGTCTAACTATATATATATATATATATATATATATATATATATATATATATATATATATATATATATATATATATATATAGTTTATGAAAAACTAGGTAATCCGTATGGGTAAACCTAAAGAGGATAAAATCCAGAGAGCTCAATGTAAATCCAGAGCAAAAAAATTAAATAAAAACAGACCACTTTAAGGTTCCATGTAATAAATTATTTCACCACAGCCGTTAAGTTAACCGTTTAAATGTGTCAATATCTGCTAAGTCACTCATGTCTTCTCTCTCCCCACCTCACTTCTTCACTTCGTTAATTTACATATGTTTAATACGGCCCGCCAAAAATGTGTAAATTTTCTTTTCATTTTTTGTTTGGAAGTAAAGTATGATGATCCGCAGTCCTTTTAAAAGGGCTGTGGTGAAATAATTCATTACATGGAACCATAAAGTGGTCTGCTTTTATTTGAATTATATATATATATATATATATATATATATATATATATATATATATATATATAAGTAAAATGAAAATTAGTATATTGATAGTTAAATATATACATTCATTTAGTAGAAAGATCACTAAGGTTTTTGCTGGTTGTGATACGTTCATCATGATGAGGATTGAAAAATGGAAACACCAAAGCGGATTTGACATCTACTTTACACAATGTGAGCACAGCTACTGAATTGTTTTCCTCAAGGAAGATTAAATACAAAGGATCTGCAAACTGTATTGATTTGGCACTGTTGATCCGTTAACTTGATTGTTACCTCCCCATCCACCCGCCATGATTCTTAAATCCGAATATCTTCGAAAATTGCTTTTTTTATATCAAACAATCAAGTTACAGAAGGCCATGCGTGAAATTACTTGTGAAACATTTCTGCCAATAAATAATGATGTAAATGATGTTATATTCGCATTTATATTCATATATACATATATACATATATCAACTTATAAACATAAATATATTTCATATTCATGGTCACTGACTTAGTAATATTTAATTGTACATGATATATAGTTAGTTATATTCATAAATAACTTTTATCAACTAATATATTCATAAATACATACCTTAAATTATTTATAAAAATATATTTTACGAGGGTGGCCTGAGAGGTTCATAGGCTGACTATGGAGGAATGATGCTAGAGCTGTGAAATCTTGCATGCATTTATTTCAACTTTTCTTAGTAAAAAGTACATAGTTTAATTCCAGGTACTATGATATCTGACTATTTAAGGAACAACGCAAAAGTAACTCGTAACGACTTTTCTTGAAAATAGACAAAATTTGGTATCGTGACGTTATGAAAGAAAAAAAGAAAGGTTTTAGCCTCTAAAGACATTCATGCTGACATCGTTGCTACATTCGAGGTGATGACACTCTAGCTTTATCAACAGAGCAAAAGTGGGCAGCTGAATTTAGGAGGGGAGTTTTGAAGATGATCCAAGATCTGGACGTCCTGCGACTGCCACCATCGAGGAAAACATTGATCTTGTTCACCACTTGGTGATGAATGACAGGCAATTGACTTATAAATCAAAATAATCCAATGCTATTAGCAGGTCCCATGAAAGAGATGTTAATATTTTGCACAATGAACTTGGCAAAACAAAGGTTTCTGCTTGGTGGGTGCCACGTCATCTGACACCTGATCAAATAAATTGAATGAACGTATTTTAAGAAAAAATATGATTTCTGTGGATAAATTCACTTTTACAATCAAGATTCTTAACGATTCTATGTAATTTCCACGAAATCAAAATAAGTTGAATATTTAATTTCGTTTCTTGCTATTAGTGCTCTATCTCTTGAATCGAGCTCTTTAATTGCAAAGATTGCTTGCCTTAAAAACATTATCAGCAGAAAATTCACTGATTGATCTTTCTTGACGAAATTTTTGTTAGTACTATATATATATATATATATATATATATATATATATATATATATATATATATCAATGCATGTTTCATTAAATAATATAGCCAAGTTTTGTCTATTTCTTTTAAGTAAGGGCGGACTAGCATTGTTGTTTCGTCTGTTGTTTGATTTATTGAAATTATCATCTTTGATAATGGCTTGTGTAAGCCGAAAAGATTAGATTAGATTTAAACATGTATCAATATGCTGTTTTCCTTTCGTCTTTCAATGATAATGTGATTAAGCTTATCAGACAATATGAAAGGAACTTACTTAAAATAAATAGACAAAACTTGTTTATATTATTTAATGAAACATGCATTAATGAAACATTGCTGCCTAAATATATATAATATATATATATATATATATATATATATATATATATATATACCTCAACCTAAATATATGGTTATATTCTTATATATATATTTATATATATATATATATATATATATATATATATATATATATGCTTGTGTGTGTATGTGTGTGTGTATATGTGTGTGTGTGTGTGTGTGTGAATGTATATATGTATACCTATGTGTGTGTGTGTATGTTCGTATACTTAGAATACTCATGCTTATTTTTTAAATAATTTTGCCAAGTTGGCCAATCAGGTGACTAAAACGTAATGAGATAGATAGATAGATAGATAGATAGATAGATAGATAGTGAGAGAGAGACAGAAAGTGAGAAAACTTTATTAGGGAGAAAGGTCAATAAAAAGAAGAGGATTCATGAAGTGACAAGATCAGGATTGAACTCGCAGGTACAGTTTTGAAGATCATAATTAAGCGGAAATGTCACTTGCGAGAAATTCGAGAGAAGAAAATATTAGAAGACAACTTTTGGTTACATTTAAGAATTTCAATATTGTGTTATTCATGGAGTCGATGTACCAAAGTTGAAATCTGATTCGAACAAAACTGACTTGATGATATTTTATTGGAAATGCACACGGAAGCTACGTTGCGGCTGTAGGAAAGTGACTGAAGCCGATATGCCAGCTCAGTGCCATTAACATTGTAGATACTACTTTGGATTTTCTAAAAAAAAAAAAAACTCTACATCAGGTGTATCCAAACTTATTTTCAAAGCGGGACAGATTTGAAGAGGTGAATATGTGTGGGGACCAACCATTTTGCTTGGCATTCTTTGAACCATTTAAATTAAATGCAAATGAACTATCTTATGAAAATTTTATTGCAAATGTTATATTATCATTTCTTCATATGGATAACAAATAAATCCCTCAACCTGTCGCATCTAAAGTCCATATAAGATGAAGGAAAATATGTCTGATCAGTGGTTAATTGGGGCAAGGAAAGGCTAGTGAATTTAACGTCTCAAAAACAAAAAAGCTTTCATTTAATCCCCGCAGAGAGACTTTTTTTTTGCCTGCCATCAGCATGGTGAACAAAACTCTACGCCTTGATGGGCACACGTTTTCCACTGACATGAAGTGGAATGATTACACTGAATCAATTGCTAGGTTTACTACTAGTCATGTTGGTTCACTTTCTCATGCTTGACAATTCATCTTTTGCAAATTTATAAATCTACCATTAGTCCATGTGCATTGAATATTGCTGCTGGTTCTCCTGTTGTATATCTCGAGATTCTTGACAAAATTCAAGAAGGTTCTGTAATGTAATCTATCTTGACTTTAGTTTCTTTCTCGTTGACATGACGTGGCTTCTCCCTGTCATTTTCATGGCAATTTTTCTGGTAAGCTGTTCTCCTTAGTGCCACATCAATTTAAGCGTGTTACTTGATTGGCAACTAGGTCTCACCATTTTACTCTTGAACTTGCTACATGCAACCGTCAGTCCTATTATAATAGTTTCGTTTCATGCACTTCTCGCCTGTGGAATTCATTTCTGATTTCTTGCTTCACCGCCACCTAAAAATTTAAATACAAAGTCAATAGTCATCGTCTGTCTTCCTGAATCTTGTTCTTGTATTGTCCTTTTCGTCTCTTATCGTCGCTGAAGTCGCCTCGTCCTTTTACTCCTTGTAAACCCTTTGCGCCCTTGTGGTAATTTTGCCTTACATGCAGTGAAAGGATAACAAAAACTATACTTATTTATCAATATATATATATATATATATATACTTGGACCAAAGTACGAGACTGTATAGTACTGAACGAATATTTTTCTTTCTTTTTCCGTTGGAACGGCGGTGGGGCGGGTAGAGTAACTCTCGGGGAAATGATGGAAGTTGTCGGGGAGGAGGATGAAACGCCGTGGGAATATCGTTAGTTTATTAAATGCGCGCGAATAAGCGAAGAGACGCGTAAAATGACTTTTTCATATCGGAAAGAAACTAGAACGAAAAGAATTTAAGGATTGATCAAGGAGAGTAGGCGACTAATTTCATAACTGTAGCTTTCTCTCAACTCTTCTTATATACACATGAACGGACGTATGTAAATATTTACTAAGTTTAGCTAAGTGTGGCTGAAGTATCCAGCGACGCTCGTGAATGAATCCACTTCCAACAGTCTATGAGATAAACTTGCCAACAATTCATTCTAAAGAGCTTTTGCATTTAACTAAACTATTACTTGTCTATTCTATCGCTCACTCTTTGCATACATTTTCTTATTGAGGAACATCAGTCAGGCTAGTTATGTTAAAAGGCTAGCTTTTTTTTTTAGTTTATTCAATTGCCAGAAGTAACCATAAATTTCTATTCTAATAGTTTCTTTTCTCGCACTTCTCACCTGTTGAACTCTCTTCAGATTTCTTACTTTCCTGCCACCTAAAATTTTCACAAATTTATATGCAAGGTCAATCGCCAATCGTCAACCGTGTTCCTAAAACCTGTTCTTTTATTTTATTTTCTCCTCACTAAAGTCTTCTCGTTCTCTACCACTCCCATAGACCCCCTTTCATCTTAATGGCATTATCGCCTTGCTTGGGGTGAAATGCCAACTTTTGTTATTCCAGGCTGAAGGAGTTGGCTGTAACAATTTTTTTGTACAGATCCTACTAAACACTACTTGTCACAACTGACGAGTTTGCAAAATGCTATCGAGACATGAAGACATTTTGGAAGCTCACCATGCAATAATATTTTGTGTTGACAGAGATGGGGCATCAAAAATGTCCGTCACGCCTTCCTGCAGTCCAGACCTTACTCTCTGCGACCTTTTGGTGGATCCCCAAGCTGAAGGAGAACCTTAGTAACAGTTGTTTTGAAGATATTGAGAAGATGAAGCGGCTGTGCCAAGGGTCCTGGACACCTTCAGATGGATTGACATCTATGGGGCCTTCATGAATTGGCTGGAGCACTGTAACAAGTACATTGAACTCAGAGGATCTTATGTTGAAGGAAATTGTGAAGGAAATGAATAAATGTCTCTCCTCAAAACCTTTTTTTTTCTTTTTTTTTACTTAGGCTACAATTTGATATTTATCTTAGTTTAATTTTAAATAAGAGAGTACATATGATTAGTTTTAATGAATGCAAATATTATCCAAATGTTTGTGATCCACCGATTTCCGCTATACTTTTGGACATTTTCAAGATTAGGTGTTATCTAGATATGTCGTTTTTCTTATATTTTAATAATTCTTAAAACTCAGCTATCATTTTTTATACTTTATGATGAAGCCAGGGACAGGTCATTGGTTGGCAAGATTCTTCATTTCGTCAGTGATTTATGTCATTTATTTTAATGATATAAGATTATTGATATATGGCGTGAGGGCGCTGTGATTGGCGAAATGTAGGGTAACCTACGGGATAAAATAGTTGTTGTATGCCCAACGTATGAATTAAATAGAAACCCATAACCCTAACCCGCACACACACACACACACACACACACACACACACACACACACACACACACACATATATATATATATATATATATATATAGAGAGAGAGAGAGAGAGAGAGGAACTTGTAAGGCAAAATGGAAAAAATTTGCATGAACGCTGGTAGTTTGAAATTTTTTTTTTCAATTTTTCAAAATAATTTTTTGCAATCTAATCAAAATTGTCTATATTCCTTTTCTTTCAATCAACTTTGTTTTTAAATATTCTACGTTGTGATAATAGAATATCTGTCAAGAAGAGTGAAACATTGTTGGACGTCAATTTATTGTGGTTGATTCTCGTGATTAAAGCACTTTCTAGACATTTTCATATTAGTGAATTATTTTCTCTTTTAATTTGAGTAGCATTTCGTTACGGTGAACAATCAATGCGTTTTGTGTTGTTTTTTTTTTTAATGTCTCTTTTGTGTTCATATAGTCTTTTCTTTAAACTTCTTAAGACTATGTTGATGTCCTAACGGATGAAGCACGTCACAAATAAACTTATAATATATATATATATATATATATATATATATATATATATATATATATATATATATATTTTTTATTATAATAGATTATAAAGAAAACATTTTCCATCTCTTCACAAAATTTCATGTTTCAATACTTTGATTGTACTTGCTCTGTGTAAATCATTTTTGTACACGTTATCTACCATCGCCTGAAAAGTACATTCATAGTATTGAAACATTAAAGCTTTTGTGTAGCGATGTAAAATGTTTTATTATAATCTATTATAATAAAAATATTCTAAAATATTTTGGTCTACTTTGTATTAAGCACTTTTAAAAAAAATTCCATGAACTGTGGATTTTCCTCCAGCTATTATTTCTCTATATATATATATATATATATATATATATATATATATATATATATATATATATATATATATATATATAAAAATATAAAAACACCGTGTTGCGTCAGTCTGTTTCATGCCATCCTGTCAGGTTGTACGTTCAAGGTGAAAAGAGATTGTCGCTGCTGGGTGTTGACCCCAGTGTCCACTTTCATATTTACACACGCTCTATCCCTAATAGCGTCCACTTTTAACAACAGACATGTAATACATTATAACTATATTTTTATCACATTATATATTTCTAAAGAATTCATCGATATTGTTATTATTTTTAATCCAAGGTATATTTTTTTAGTTTAAATGTTATTTAGACGCTCCATATTTTATGTCTACCGAATTGCACAGTCGAGATAATATATTAACTAAAATGCACTCCCCGGGAGGATTCGAACCTGCATCCTTGTTTGCAGGTGAAAGCAACATGCTTCTCTGCTCGGCCATAAAGAGCTTTAATATCCGGCTAAAGCTTTATTTGCCTTTAAAGCACATTTGACTCATTCAGATTTTCTCAAAAGTCATATTTTCTCAGTTTCGTACCCGAAACGTAAACGAAACAATTTCTGAAGAATTAATGGAATTTATTTTTAGTTTCTCTTATTAAAGAAAATGGGACCGGATTCTTAACTTTTTTTTAATTGGTTTTTTCGACTGTGCAGTCCGATAGATGAAATAAAATACTGCTTTAAAAATAAAATACTTTTTTAAAAATAAAATACTTTTTTAAAAATAAAATACTTTTTTAAGAATATAATACTTTTAAAATAAAATACTTTTTAAGAATAAAATACTTTTTTAAGAATAAAATACTTTTTAAAAATAAAATACTTTTTAATAATAAAATACTTTTTAAAAAGAAAATACTTTTTAATAATAAAATACTTTTTAAAAATAAAATACTTTTTAAAAAAATAAAATACTTTTTAAGAATAAAATACTTTTTAAAAATAAAATACTTTTAAAAAAAAAAATACTTTTTAAGAATAAAATACTTTTTAAAAATAAAATACTTTAAAAATAAAATACTTTTTAAAAATAAAATACTTTTTTAAGAATAAAATACTTTTTAAAAAATAAATACTTTTTTAAAAAATAAAATACTTTTTTAAGAATAAAATATTTTTAAAAAATAAAATACTTTTAAAAATAAAATACTTTTTAAGAATAAAATACTTTTTAAAAATAAAATACTTTTTAAAAAATAAAATACTTTTTTAAAAAGAAAATACTTTTTTAATAATAAAATACTTTTTTAAAAAGAAAATACTTTTTTAATAATAAAATACTGCTTTTTAAAATAAACGGAGCGTCTACTCAAATACGGTTATCCACTAAAAATAATGTTTCAAGTAATAAAAATATGTCTGATTAAAAAAAAGATTTTAGTACTGTTGAAATTTTTCGTCTAATGATTTGTGGCATTTCCTTCATGATGGGCTGAGTGAGGATTGAAGGCAATGATGTCTATGTAAAGTTGGTTGTTGTTGGATTACTGCCATTTTTGGAGGATGAAAATGACATGCTTTTTAAAGTTTTCGCTTTTGTTGATTTCGAATCTTAGTTTTTGGATTTCTTTTGCAATGTATAATGATCAAGAATGTCTTTTTGAAATAGTTTTCAATTTCGATACCGGCGCGACTGACTTCATAAAGAAAATTCGTTCTCCTACAAGGTTTGAACCTGCATCCCATTATATAAAGGAAACTACTGTTTAATCGGGAGTTCTTTAGACCGATTTTTAAGCACAACTTTGATCTAAAGAATGCCACACTTATCAAAAGAGAAAGTAACTTAGAATCCTCGAGAGTGTTGCTACCGAATCTTATCAAAATATAAATTTGCGGCCCGGATTTTTTCCAATATCTCCATTCCTGAAAGAATTACGACTTTCCCAAACCAACAGACATGACTCCAAAAATGGTAAAAAAGAAATTAAAAGTAAACAGTAAAACCCATGACCTCATGTTATTCAAAATAGACAGCGCATAATCCCAAACTAAATTAATTCAAATAATAATTTGCACAAAATTTGCCTCCCCCGAACTTTTGCAGTTTCCCTGACGTTTCTAGCTAAAGTGAAGAATATTTATGAGCATTTCTAATTCAAGAATTTTGAAAAACCATAACATTTTGCTGTTCTATATAAATACTTGTTGCAAAAACAAAATCCTTGAATTTACCTTGATAAAGTTCCACAGAGGACGAAACGCGACGGCTAAGGTAAGTTTTCCTTTTGTCTTTATTACTCACATTGTCTTTTTACAGATATATTCTATCTGGAATCTTTACATATATATATATATATATATATATATATATATATATATATATATATATAATGAGAGAGAGAGAGAGAGAGAGAAAGAAAGATATCTGTGTGTGTATGTGTGTTGAATAAATGGCTGTTTTAAAATGATTAATGATTTTTCACTTGAGCAGTCTGTGATTCTTGTAATTCGACCTTCAAATCCAAACACTTCTCATCATGATTTGAACCCTGACTGAAAATTTTGATGTAATGTTGCTATAGATTGTACTTCGTTTGGCATATATAACCTGTGTTTAACATTCGTGTTCAACGTACTGGAAAAAACATTTTCGCGGAAAGACATAAGCATTTATATTTGGTTGTGTTATGCCTTTTCAAATCTCGTCTTGAAACGTCAACTTGAAACTTATACGAGACTCCCAGCAATTATACCCGTTTTCCGTCAAAGCGTTGCTACGGTGAGCTGACATTTCTTTTCAGTCTAGTACCTTTTCGATGCCGCCACCATCTCTTCTTCTTCTTCTTCTTCTTCTTCTTCTTCTTCTTCTTCTTCTTCTTCTCTCCCTCCTCCTTCTTCTTCTTCTTTCATCTTTCTTACCTCCTCATTTTCCATTTTTTTCTCTTTTTTCTATTCTTCATCTTCTATCGTTTGTCATGAATTCATTTTCTTTTTCTTCTTCTTTCCTTTTCCTTTCTTCCTTTTCCTTTTTATTGCATTTTGCATTTTTGCCTTTTCTCCTCTCTTTCTGTTTATATTTGTTTTCTTCTTCCCGATTTTCATTTTCTTACATGCCTCCATTTCTTCTTCTTCTTCTTTTTCTTCTTCTTCTTCTTTTTCTTCTTCTTCTTCTTCTTCTTCTTCTTCTTCTTCTTCTTCTTCTTCTTCTTCTTCAGACATTAAAGATTTTCTTAAATCGTCGTCAGCTGACCAAATCGACGCTTGATGTTTACAAATCTTTTTCATGCGGTGAGCAATAAAATAAGATCCATTCACGCTTCCGAGCGAGAAAATGAATAAAATTGCTTTTTAGCCTGATCTAACCTCACACACACATATATGCGCATACATATTTCTCTATAAGCAAAATAAATATTTATATTTATGTATTTGCAAAAGTAAAAGTCAATATCAAACGCTTATTTTATTTTGTATGTATTTACCCGACATAGAAAGACGTTATGTCACTAAGCAAATCACTTTCTGCAATAAAAGCCAAAATGAAACCATTTACAAGCACGAAAAAGTTAAAAAAAACAAAACAAAAAAAAACTACACTTTGTTTCTACCTGATTTTCTGAGTTGAGTTCTCATTATTTACACTCTTTAAATGCGGACTATTTTTCTTCGTCTTTGTTGTTGTTATCATAGCGTTTCTGTCGTTCAGCCCTCCGGCCTTCATCAGGTGTCAATAGGAAATTCGGAATTAAACTACAAGAGCTAGACTGTTTTCGTTCCTCTGTCCATATCTAGGGATATGTCACACGACACAATAGCCTAGGGGATTAAAGTTTTCGGTTCGTGAATTTGGTGACATAGTAGTTCAATCCCTGGGCCTGGCAGTGCGTATTTGGACTCAGTGGAAACAGGGCGAGCAATAACTGAGCAGGACTAAAATTAAGAACTAGACGAGATCTCTCTAGACATGGTCAGTGGAAAGTGAACAGTCTACCCCTGTAGATTAAATAAAGGGCTCAGTTCGGAATTCCATGTAGATTACTCGGATCGATTTACATCTGATAAAGGCCGGCGGGCATAACGGCCGAAACGTTTGGATAACAACAACAAAGGTAGCTATCTGCACAGAAACGCGATGCGTAATATTTCAGATGAATTTTTAAAAATGAAAATTTTCTTGACACTTTTATTTATTTTTAATCTTAAGATTAAATTTAATATTCCCAATAAGCAAGATACATCACTGTATTTAAATACTAAATGAAATTGACTGGAAGAAGTTTTCGTTTTGAAATTGCTAAAATCGCTGCTTTTAGCGCCATTTTTAGCCATCCGTCATGTAATAGAGTAACAAGTCTAAGTAGAAGCTTACGAAGATCAATTTGACTCATTCAGCTTTAGTGCTGAAAAATGTTGATTTTATTGTGATGGATGATTACAGGCGAGAGGGGAGATGGCATGAGCTTATTTTATTACCACACATAATCACGATGTAATTCTTTTTATTAAAACTATCTTTCAAAAATAAAATATATTTTTCTGAAAATTTATTTCAGAATTATTACCGTCCGTATTTACAAAATCGGCGCGTTTAGACAACATAGAAAAAAAATCGATTTTTTAAAAATATTGGAGGTCGATAAATTGTAATTATCTTTTCCATTTCTGATTAGTAAATACAGTTTTTACTTAGAAACCATATAACCTAACCGGAAAAAATTAAGACAGAATTTTAAAAGATTTAAAACTTTATAATTTATTATAATTAAAATTAAAAAAAAAAGGAAAGAATTCTTGCAAAAATTCATTATTCAACGAATTTTTTTCTTAAGTCTATAATGTCCATAGTATATCTTATTTATAAAAGCAATTAAAAAATTTTCTAATTAAATAATGTCTTAGTTTTATTGCATTTTTATTTTACGATTCAGAGCAAATGTTTGGTAACTGATGGTTCTGCTTTACAAAAAAATAATTATATAAATTCTCCAAGGAATTCTGCTTTTAACTAATAAAAACATTAAGCGGTCCAAAATTTAATTTCTCGAAATTTCTTAAATTAAAAAAGTGGGGAATAATAAATGTGAAAGAATTTTTTGGCAACATTTTCTAAAAAAATAATTTCTAAAATAATTTAATTCATTTGTGAATAAGACCTTTAATTTTAATTAAGATCCGACAATTATTTGATTTTTACAAGAATTTCCAAATCAATGATTTTCATCACAAAAAAGATGCAAATATTTCCTATACTAAACTTTTTCCCCCTCCAAACTCCCATTGACAGGATTTTAAACAAAGTTTCGAATGTTTGAAAAAAAGCATCCAGCATATAATTTAATAATAATATAAAAGTTTGGAATGTCCTTTTAATAATAATAATATAAATATAAAAGATATAATATAAATATATAATACATATATATATATATATATATATATATATATATATATATATATATATATATATATATATATATATATATACTTTATATGTATATATATATATTTATATATATATTATATATATATTTATGTATATTAATATATTCTTTTATATATTAATATATATTATAATAGAAAGAAAAACTTATATATTTTTATATGTATATATAATATTATAATAATATTTTTATTATGAAATATTTTAAATCGCTACACAAAAATGCTTATGTTTCGGAACTTAAAAATTGTTCCATCATAAGGTGATTTTGGATAACTTATGATGAAAATGATTTACTTGTGAAATCAGAAAACAATATGGTAGCTTATTTAAGAGTTAAAAAGGAGGCGAGGGAACAAGATTCCAAAAGTTTGTGGGTAGGTGTGGGTTAACTAGTCAAAAGACGGATCAAAGCGAAAGTAGAAAAGTGAAAAATTAGGTTGGAAGTTAAAGGTAGGTTTTTATAAATTTATAGCTAGATGAATTGACATTTTTAAGGCACGTCATCACAGACGACCTCCGGTTACGAATATAAATTTAAGATACAGTGAAGTAGAGAGATATATTTAACAAAGAATTTCAAGATTTTTAAAACATTTTATAAATATTTGAGAACTACCTCAAAAGGAACATCTAGTGTGATTAAATCATTTATATATATATATTATTTTGAACCCAAAATAGAATACTTATTATGTTGAATGAGCAATAAAACAAGACATTATTAAAGTTAAAAATCAAAGAATTAAATAAATATTACATGGACTATTATATATTAATAAAATAATAGATATATAATTGTAATGCATAGATTTTTTATGAAAAATTATATTAAATATATTTAAAAATAAACACTATACAATGCCTACAAATTAGTGTTAATTCATTACGCTGATTTAGGATATCATTATTTTTAGGAAAATTAATATGCAGCTTTTAATGTAGACGCAGGGGACATGGGTCATTTAAGGACTTACAAATTCTCGTTTTTACGGTGGTGGTTTTATTGGTTTCTTTTCAATGCCAAAAATATTTAGAAAAAGAAGTTCGGTTAAGGTACGCGCTTTTGTTAAAAGAAGATATATGCTGATACCACCTTTGTTTAAAAGGGGTTTTTGTGCTACCAATATAAAATTTCTTAACAGCCAGGTTTTCAGTAAATGAAATCGTGCATTGGTAAACAATAGATTCTGTAAGACATTTATTTTGAAATGAACAATTTATGTGATTTCTATAATTACATAATTTATTATCAATATTATTGATTTCTGCTTTGGAATTACTATTATTATTTAGGTTTAAGTGTTTATTTAAAATTTTATTATGATTTTAATAATTTTTTTCTAGATTATCAGTACAACTGTAAGTTAATTTAATCGTATTTTTTATTGAAAATCTTGCTCAGAGGATTATTACTTGGGAAATGTTTCTCAATCAAAGCAAGAAACTTTTACCCTAACTTAGTGCTAACCATTTGGTTAAATGGGAATGTATACCAAATAATTTTTCTATTTCTATTTTTTCCGGCTATCATTATTATCTCTTCTGTATTAAAATCGGGGCATTTATACCCACTATTTTAAAAGCATTTTTATAAAAATTGCAGTGTTTATAAAATATATATTCGTTGGTAGAGTTAATACCAATTCTATATTCTGTGGATATGTTCATCTCATCAGGACAAAAAACTGGTCCGCGAATGGAGAAAGTACACCGGACAGACACTTTAGTTTGGTAGTGTGGAGGGTAGGTGTGTGTGTGTGTGTGTGTGAGAGAGAGAGAGAGAGAGAGAGAGAGAGATAGAGGGGTAAAAGATAGGGCTTAGAGATTGGAGGTTAGTAGTGGTCGTTTTTCTCAACCAAGAATTTACTCTACACTTTGTGGATTTTAATATTGTTTGAATATATATATATATATATATATATATATATATATATATATATATATATATATTTTCATTGAAAACCCGAGAAGAAAGATTTAATTAATCTTTTATTGAGTTTTTCCAGCATTCTAACATTTTTCCGTTTTTCAGGGGTTAAAGAATATAAAGATTGTCCATAATTTTTCTGAGAATATAGATATTTGTCCTTATCTCTTCATTTCTTGTGTATTCAACCTTTATCTATTTATGCGATAAAAAAAATGACGCTGCGCGCTTTCAGAACGTAGGCAATCATGGCTATTTTTTTAATATTCGTAAATTTTCTTCGGTGTTTCTTCGGAAAGATAGTGAAATGTTTCCCGTTGCTGTTTCCACAGTTTTAGAATTTAAATTCAAAATCGTCCATTTCATATATTGGCTGACACTCAAGTCTAGAGATTCCGGTTTATCTTGTTATGAATGCCTATTCCAAAGTAAACGCAACTCTCTTAACTAGAATTCCAACTTTTTCCTTTTCGATTCGATAACCATAACGTTATACGCATACAAGTATGCAGGGAAAGAAACTTGGAAATATGGGATAAACTTTTATGAGCACTTAATGTAGCAATCAACAATTTATTTCATAATATTTCCAGCTGAAATAATCGTGGATACAATATATTATCAAACTTGTCCAACGCCTTCGAAATTATGGTAACAAAAGACACAGCTCCAGTCTAAGGTGTGTCTTTCGCTTTTGTTTTCTCTGTTAACAAAGTACAGCGGCCTTCTTGAATTTTGCACACGTTAAAACATGTGCAATTGTTGTTGAAGCGTTTGTTTCAAGAAGAAAATAAACCAGGTGAGAATGTCAGTGATCAAAGAGAGAGAGAGAGAGAGAGAGGAGAGAGGGGGGGAGGAAGGGGAGGCGGAAAGGGTCTAGGAGGAAATATACCGCTTGAACGGCGTGAGTGAGTGACAAGTACAAAAGATCAACAGTTCATTAATTTGGTTCAAAGTACGACTTCATTGATTGGCGGGAACAGGCTTTGCTTTTTTCCAATAAGCCACCATTTCACTATCATCCTGTCAAGACCTTTACTCATCTGGTGACGGCAAATTTTTGTACTTATATCGTAATTTATACAACTGAGTGTGGACAATTCGAATAGATTTACCAAGCTTAGCTTAAACTGGTGTAACCTATATCAGTAAGAGGCGAAACAATATCTTCTTTGATGTGCATAACTTTCAGGACGTGGGAAATCATAACTTACCACAGCGATAAGCAACATTTGTCATTTTAACATCTCTATTTTATCTGTGCTTTGCCAGTCATCTTTAATGAGAATACGTGCTGTTTCCATCCTCTTTTCTAAGCTGCAATAAGCCATGTGAGTATTAGATTAGCCAAGCTCTTTTTCCACATTATAACTTCAAAACTGCTTTTGTTGTTTTTTTTATAGATTAAGTGAGGAGTGAGTATATTGCTATAGTAGAATACTTGTAAAATCTCATAGAAAATAAAGAGCAAAAAGATTTGAACATTTTATTTCAAATTCAATCTACTCAAACACAGACTGTTTTGCTTTTCTTCCTATCTAACATCATTGAATATATATATATATATATATATATATATATATATATATATATATATATATATATATATATATATATATATATATATATATATATATATATATATATAAATGAATAGTTATATGTATATGTATTTTTATTCGAAAATTATCATTAAAATGTTATAAAATCACTACAAAAATAGCCATTTTGTTACAACACATCTGGTGTCATATCTTTATTCTACATTCAACATCACTTGATAAGACACCAGAAGTGTTGAAACAAAATAGCTATTTTTGTAATGATTTTATAAGATATTTAAGTTATAATTTTCGAATAAATATTTTAAGAATAGTATTTGTTGGTTATTGGAAATTTATTCTGTATAAACCAATTCTCTCTCTCTCTCTCTCTCTCTCTCTATATATATATATATATATATATATATATATATAAAGAGGGAGAGAGAGAGGGGGAAGAGAGAAATCCGTGTAGGCATAGGAATCAATACTGCATGCTGACAGGCTGTTTCAAGCACATTGAGATCTGCTGAGCATGCTAATTAGATGAGTGAAGAGGGAAACTGATAGACATCACGCAGTATTTATTCTTATGTCCATAATGTCTATATTAATAAATGCGCTGTATCCAACACTGAGAACTCTTACCAAATTTTTATATATATATATATATATATATATATATATATATATATATATATATATGTGTGTGTGTGTGTGTGTGAGCGTGTGTGTGTGCATATTAAGAACAATATGTGGCCACTAGACCTACCTACAACTGAAAAACGCAGTAGATAGGTTCACCTATCGCCCGGTCAGTATTTCTAACGTGTTTATTGAACAAGAGCAGAGGTTTTATCACTTGTTTCCTGTTTAGCATATGGTTTACTGGTTCTTTCTTCTATGGCAATTAATAATTTTATTGCTTTAACTTTTTAGTGATCTGACTGATTACTGCCTACGGCTTTTCATTATGAGGGAAGCGGCTTAGCAGTTTTCTGGTTGGTGCTTCCGACTGGTATTAGGGAGTCTGAACTCTTTGGTGGCGGTTAGAGAGGCTGTTCAGAACAACAGTCGCATAATATTGGGCTAATGCAGTCAGAAACGATGACATTTTCTTTACGATTTCGTTAGAGGTAACAAAGCAAACTCTAGGCACCGTCCTTTCGTAAAAGAGGTTGTCCTGACCGGATAAATGGATAGGGTCATTCTTTAAGCTCCCCGTTGCCGGCTAAACGTGACATCTGGATTTTGGCTCGTTACCAGAGTTTTTCGTCTTTCACGAAGTGTTAATTAAGTCTTTTATTTTTTTAGACATAGTTGTGACAATTTTTATGTTAATTTTGGATAAAAAATCTTTTCAGTTGCGATAAAGTTGATGGGAATAGAACAATATATTTTTGATTCGTTGGGTTTGTCATGAAGGTTCTTTTGCTAAATATTTTACGAGATTTTTGTTTCGCGTATGAAGCAACAGGTACTTCAAAATGAAGTTTAATATTTTTTAAAAAGATAAAAAATTCAGTACACTTGAATGAAATCCTTGTGTTTAATATAGTAAAAGAGAAAAAGGCTATTTTAAATACTTCCACTTAGTCTAAATGACGTCGCACAGTTGGGCCTTCATGTTCCTGATTGAGATCACGTCCACAATTCGAGTTCTTGACCCTCTTCGGCGAGAAGTAGTTCAAGAAAGCTCGGAGACCGGCCGCGTGTTGTTGGTTATGAGACTTCTCGGTTAGCCACCCCTAGGGGTCAGGTAGGCCAGGAGGGGCAGGGTCTACCGGAACACAATGGATTTGGCTCGATGTAGGCGTTGGCATTGACCTTGAGGATCTATGTGGAGCGACACGCCATGACCATCAGGATCATAACTGTCCATCATTCCATAGGGTTTAGACAGAAACACCTATCACTCCTTAACTTTTGGGCCTGATTGAAGTTCTCATGACCCGTCATCACCAGTGACCTCCAGCTCCTTTTTGAGATTGAACACGAATAACCTAAACACTTTCAAGTGGCTAATAATCTGCGAGATTATAGAGTTGGTGATGCGCAGGCCTATTTATATCGCGTATCAGACTGGAAGTTGCCATGAAAAGAAAATGACAATGTTATAATCTGGTTCATGCTGCCTCACATTACGATAGGTCATCTTCCACTCATCACTCTGTAATATGCATGTTCTCCAATACCGGGCGCACAATGTAGAATGTTGTTTTTCTTCCTTTCTCTTTCAAATTCATTCTTTTAATTTTCTCAAGTCGCATTGATGTTGATTTCAAAGTGCGCATATTTTTAAAGCAAATTAGAACAAAGAAAATGGTTCTTTTATTGATTTCTATCGTTCGTCTTTTTGTTTCTCTCTTTCTGTTTTCCGTTTCGTCTCGTTCTTTTTGCTTTGCTTCCGTCTTCCTGTTTCGTTTCTGTGATTTGTTTCGTTTTCCGTCTTTCTTTTTCATTTCTGTCTTTTTGTTTCATTTCCGTCTCCCTGTTTCTTTTTCGTCTTTCCGTTTCATTTCTGTCTGTCTGTTTTGTTTCGTTTTTTTTTCTGTTTCGTTTTCGACTTCCAGTTTCGTTTCCGTCTCCCTGTTTCTTTTTCGTCTTTCCGTTTCATTTCTGTCTGTCTGTTTTGTTTCGTTTTTTTTTCTGTTTCGTTTTCGACTTCCAGTTTCGTTTCCGTCTCCCTGTTTCTTTTTCGTCTTTCCGTTCCATTTCTGTCTGTCTGTTTTGTTTCGTTTTTTTTTTCTGTTTCGTTTTCGACTTCCAGTTTCGTTTCCGCCTCCCTGTTTCTTTTGGTCTTTCTGTTTCCTTTCTGTCTCACTGTATCATTTCCGTTTTTTTTGTTTCGTTTCCGTCTTTCAGTTACTTTTCCGTCTTCCCGTTTCGTTCCCATCTTTCTCATCATATGGAGAAGAAAAGTTTTTATTTTGTAGATCGACAAATTCATATAGTGGCAAAATGATTCTCCTAAAATATTTTTCAAGCCCTCGACCTCCCTGGCTGGCGTGTGTTTTTTTCCCTTTGATGGACAACTAAAAATATAATGGGGAAAATATTGTTTAGAATACGGAAACCCGATCCCTAACTTTTAATTCTGGCTGCCCGAGCCCTAACTTTCCAATTCTGGCTGCCGATCCTTAACTTTCTAATTCTGTCTGCCCAACCCTTAACTTTCCATTTCTGGCTGCCCGATTGTTAACTTTCCATTTCTGGCTGCCCGATCCCTAACTTTCCATTTCTGGCTGCCCGATTCTTAACTTTCCATTTCTGGCTGCCCGATCGAACGAAAAAATCCACTGAATATAGATTTGTCAAGCTTAGATATATCTGGTGCATAAGAATGGTACTCAAGCTCGTTAGCCATATCTTTACATTTGACTCCATTCTTTTTATAGTGGGTTAGGCAGTGAGGCTTGAACTCATTATACCCTTTAGTGGTTTCGCTATTCTACAGTAGGCACCTGGCGAAGACTTAATCCATTTCGTTATGTTTTTTCTTTCTTTTTTTTTCTTTCATCTTTCTTCCGCTTTTGTGGAAGTCTTTGAATAAAATCACTCAAAAATAAAAGAATGGAAGATAGAGAAAATATTTTATGCCCCAAATATGGTATTACTTATGGTAAATACTCCTCTGTCTGTAATTTTTCTCTTTTTCTTTCTCTCTATTTTTTCATATTTTTATTTTCTTTTATTTGCGAGCAATTTTCTTTAAAGAATGGCCACGATTCTAGTTGTCTTCTGTTCTTTTTCCCTCTCTCTCTATATCGCATGTTCTCTCTTTTTCTCGGCATTTTTCTCTTTCTACTTTCTTACCCTGTCTTACTTTCCTTGAAGTCTTTTCACTTTCTTTTCCGCGTGAATCCTTAAACTTTACTAACCTACTTTCAGGATCAGGCATGAGGGGCGCTTATCAAAGGCGGACTTCACATTCCGATGGAGACAAAAAACAAAAAAAAAAACAAAAAACAAAAATGAAGTGTATGTATACTCACTTTTCTATCTCCCCCTTCTTAGCCTCTCTCTCTCTCTCCCTCTCTCTCTCTCTTTTTCTCTCTGTATTTGTCATAGTCTTTCACCTCTCAATTAGTGTCAATCGTATCACTCACCTCCATGGCGGCGCCGGCAGTAGTGCCTTGAGTCACTAAACATGCAGGAAGCCGGCTTTTTGCGAGGGTCCCCAGGTGAAAAGTTAGCGACTGGACGACCCAGATCGCCAGCCGGCTGGCAAAAAAAAAAAAACACAAGAAGTTTTTCCTCGCTCTCTTTCTCTCTCTCTCTCTCTCTCTCACCCATCTCTCTCTCTCTCTCACACACACACACACAAAAACACACATACACACCTTTTCTACGCTTTTCTTCACTTTCTATCTCGCCAAATCGTATTGGTGGTGGCGAAGTAGCGGCTTAGAGGTGGAGGAGAGTCCGGCAGAACGTTGTTCATTTCACAATATTCCGGTCAGAGAAAAAAGCTATTAAGATTTTCCAAAAGTTCAACATAATTAAGGGAGAGTGGGGAGGGGGTGTCATACACACGCAATCACATTCTCTCGTCGAAAAATGTATTAGGAGGGTTACTGCCGTAAAATGAATGTTACTATCGTAACCCATGACTAGTGAGTTCGAATCTTGTTAAGAGGCATATCATTGTCGCTTTAGCTTGACCAATATATGAGATAAAAACGTTACGAAATCGCTCATGCATTACACGGAAATATATTCATTAGACCAGAACAAAATAAGTTTCCTTTTTAAAGTAGTTAAACACGAGATAGAGCCATAGAATTAGATAACAGCTTGTAGTACTTCCCTTCGCCTGAATAACGGCGGTTACATGACCTATCACAGTTCACGTAGTGATAAGGTAATTGCGTGTTTTTGTCAGGCATAGTTTAGCTTCAAAATTACATTAACAAAAAAATGAACATGGAGCAAACATTTTGTAGAATGGATGCAAAACTTACAGCAGGTAAAATTACAATTAGTGCAACTAATTACATTAACTGTGTGAGCTTAAACAACATTTTTCAGAAACTAATTTCGTAGTCTTTTCAGCAAATTTCGTTTCGACCTTATTTGTTTACATCTAGGCCCGCATGCAGAAGATAAAGAGATGTGGATGTGCAGGCAAAGGCTTAGGGTTACTGACGAGGTAAGAGAAATTGGTGAGACGAGTTCGAACACCGGTTGAATTCGTTAAGTTCACTTCTGCAATGATATTCTTGGGAAGCCATCTCTTCCCTCTAGCCTTGGTTGACAACCAGCCTAGAAGAAGGAAAATACTGAATTCCTAATCTGTTGGTGTGTTAAACACCTTCCATGCAATCTGGAGCACTCAACATAATGTGTAAGCTCAAAGGAAATGCACAGTAACTGATTTTTTAAATTATTTAAGTTTTGCAAACTGTTCCAGCAAATAAAAAATGTCAGCTACTATAATATAAATAGAGAATAAAAACACAATAGCTGGACCTAAAATTCATCAAACTAGCAAACAAAATAATAGCAATAAAGGACGGATGAATGTACCATGTGTGAAAGGCCGACACGTGTTTCATAAGAATTATACAGCACTTTGAGATATGTCACTATCGTCATAAATAAAGTGAAACTGCTACAAAAATTCTTGAATCGGTTAGGATTGATTCTATATATGAATTTATTTTTATGAAAAAACAATGGATTTATTTTCCCTTAATGCATTTGTGAATATATCTTTTTAATACCTTTTTTTGCAAGTACCACAACAAGGTTCGTGAAGATGTGTTTGTTTGTTGAAGCTGCAGGGATTGTTAATGAGATCTACAGCATGTCCCATATGTGTGCAATCGGATTTAAATATAGCGAGAATGGAACCAGTGGTGTATTTTTATATCAGCCTGGGGTTCTTGAAACGTTTCCTGTGAATCGCATTCGACAGGACAGAACTATATTATGTGGCTGGAACAAGCCATCACCTCTGGAAAGATGACAAGAAAAAAAAGGGGGGGTGCAAGTCGTCTTTAACGATACATGCAATAGTTGTCGAGGCAGATTCAAATTTTAGTAGTTGTTCTTGTGAACGCCGAAAGAACATACCAGACAACATTACGGAGCCATTCACAGAATGCGTAATCTTTTGTGGGGAATTTATATCCAAAATTTTAGGTGGTTTCTTTCACACACAATCCTGAAAATTACCGGAAAGAGCCGAAAACATAACTCATCTGATCCGACGATACGGTGCCATTCTTCCACGGTCTAATTGAGATCTTCTCGAGCCCGGATAAGATGAAGTAAATGATAGTATTGTGTTAATAATTATATCCTTCTTAGTCAAAAAATAACGGAAACCAGGGAATGTAGTGTTAGTGTGTAATGAAGTGACACGGGTTGAGCGGTAGGATCGTTGAAATGGTATAAGGATTTAAGACAATGTTCCTCTGAGAAGAGTGGTAAGCACATTTGCGTCAGTTTTAGACAGTTTTCATGATGTCTGTCCGGAATTTTCAAACCCTAGTATACACTTGATACTATTGCATAAGAAAAAAAGAACATTTGTCACTTCAGAGATAGAGTCCCCATCTTATTTTTATCCCTTTCAAATCTCATTTTGTAGCCAAATAACGTTAACTCCTGTCCGCAGTTCATACATGTTGCAATTAAATTGTCACAGGTTCACTGCCTCTTTACCTATTGCGTCACACATACATCATCGGGATAAATTTATTTTTACAAGTAAAGCGAAGGCAAACTATTTCAGTGTATCTAATTCTTTTCACATCAGTTTATTACAGAACTTAGGTTAAGCAATAAAAATACAATTTATTTGAAGTGCCGAAGGCGTTAAAAACTGAACGATACTTTAAAGCGTTCAAATGTTACGAGATTTGGAAAACTAAGCTGCGGTATTTGAAATCGAGAATATCTATTCAAAATCATTTTTAGCTTTGAATCTAATCCTTTTAAGCTTTAAATAAAATCCTGAGTTTAAAGCCAGAGAAAGAAAATGAATTTTTATGAGTTAGAAAGAAAATGAGTGAGAGTGAAACGTGTTTGATTTTTTAAACTTCTGTTATATAATTAGACGGCTGTTGGACTTCGTTTTTAAATTTTGATACCCGATTTTGATAGACGTTCTTCCATCTTCCCTCATGACATTTGATAAGCTTAGATAGAAACGCAAAAATGAAAAATGGAGTAGTAAGGAGGAGAAAAAAATCTGATTAATAACCGTATCTACAGATTGATCTTTTATCTCAAATTGGATCATTTTACAAAAAAATCATTTATTTATGACCGATAACTATGTACAAGTCAATCACGCTTTTTCAGGAGAATCCTACAATTATCTGCAGACAATACATTGCGTAGCATATAAAATCATTTCAGAAAACTCATTAAACGTGAATTATAGTCTCACTGGTTTCCCTATATATTCAGCCTTGCAGCGAGCTTTACTAAGTACCGTAATACCCCATGTATAATACGCATTTTTTCTAAAAAAATAATAAGCAAAATCAGGGTACGTATTATGCGCAGCTACAAAAAATCTTTAGAAATTGCCGTAAAATAAAATAAGAATTATCATAAGACTAAATTAGAATAATATTATTCTATGTTTAAAACCATTTTTTTTAAATAAGTGTAAGAAACGCTGGCCATAAGGAAATTGGAGAAGTGCAATTTATAGGGTTTGATTACCAAACAAAGAGTGTGTATTATTCATGAGTAGAAGCATTTTCCCACGCTCTCAGCACGATTTTAGGTGTGCGTGTTATGCATGGTGTATTGTACATGGGACGATTATGGTAAATAGTTAATTTGTGGGTTGCTTAAGAACTCATCAGTAACAAATCTAAAATGCTTAACGTTTATGATTGCGTCAATTTCCAAGGTTGACACACTTAACAGGTGGTCAGATATTGTAGCTGCAGGCATAAAAGTTATCGACTCTTCACAATGAACACTGACCTTAGGGGTCATCTGTGTACCCACGAATTCCCACAGAGCAACAGTGTCACTTCCATTATCTCCAACCGAAGTATCAACACGGGATTGGTTTTATCCCTTCGACTTCTGGTGAAAAGACTTTCTTTTACTTGTATATTGAACTGAAATTTGCCCGAAACTATGCACCACTGAACTCCGAGTGATCCTTCTATTTTATTTTCTCCAAAGGACAAGTCAAGGTCAGGTGATCCATAGGCATATTCATCTTTTCGGGTAATGTCAATCACCCTTTTGTTGTTGCTGAAGAATTTGTGTAAGTGTAGCTTTTCAGTATCGCAGAGAACCTTAGCTTCTCTTACAAGTTGGATGGCTTTTGCCTCAATCGATTCAAACTGTCATCAAACAGAAATTAGGCTGAATGAATTTCACTGCAGCTTCAATAAGCTCTTCCTCATCTTTTTCAGCAAGGAACTTTCGTCAAAAATTTGGGCATCCAGGAGAGGAAGCTGCCCAAAACAAATCAACCTGCAGGCGAAAAATGGTAGTGAAGCATCCATCTTGCTTCCTTCCCACCAAAGCAAACTAAGGTATCCCTGGCCCTTCGAAGCGACATGGAACTGATGGAACATGCGATCCGCATCGTATATGATGGCAGCTTGTCTGTTTCTGAAGCTAGATAAGATTCCTACAAACATATTTACGAGGTCAGGTTCAATTAATAGATGTTCGTCCAGGGAAGTATTTTGAAATTTTGCTGAACAATCGGCAACTACACGGATCTTGGCTGGATTTTTTGGGTCTGTTATATATGAATAAAGTGTCTCTGCCGACACTTGAGTTTGAACATAGATCGGCAAACATTGGCGATCCCATTATTGAATTAAAGTAGGCCACGTGACTATATATATGTAGGAATTAGCTGATGACTAATGATCATCATTCTAGTATATACCGATTACTATTCGGATCACTATTTCTCCCCTCTCCTCTATTTGTATACGGACCGCTATTCTATACTCTGTTTATTATACTATTTCTCTATTCAGATCTCTATACGGGTTAATTGTCAAGCGAGTATTATTGAGCAAGTACTATTAGTACGAGTGTTTTTCGAAGGCGTCTGACACCAGTATTGTTCAACGGCATACTGTAAGTTGTATCGGCGATTACAAAGTCTTTACTACAACGAGCATTACGAAAGTGACAACGAGTATTCGTTGACAACTCAAAAGGTTCCATGATGAGTGATATACTATTTTGATTCAGTTCCGTTACTGGAATCGACATCAGACATGATGTTGTTGTTGTTATGGGATATAAACGAAGAATATATTAGGTCAGAAAATTGCATTTTTGATACGATCATTTTTACGCTTACTTTTCTAATACTTACGGAAAATAAACATTAAATTTTACGATCAAATTTTTCTTTTCTTTTTATTTCACAATGAGTAAATTTTGTATCCGTTTTACTCTTTTAAAATGAATTTAGACCAGATCTATATGGAAACACTGTTGCAATATGACTTCAAAGGGGACTCTTTAGCAACGGAAGCGAAAATAAATATTCTGGAAATAAAGCTTTAAGTTTCTAGAACGGCCAACGATGGTTTGGCTCGTTTCGAGCAGGAAATTTTTCTTATAAAGATTTCTCTTCCATTTGGACAAACACGTCCTGACAATATTGTGTTTTTCATAGCGAATTGCTACATATTTTATGTTTTACTTATCCCATCGATCAGAGATTTCAACATAATGTAACTATTACTCTTGTACAGGTCGATTTCTAATTTTTTGTTTAAAACTTTGATATTTAGTATCGACTTATACACGAACCCCTAGGCACATAATTTCCCGGTTGAATATCATCCCAATCATCTTGGTAACAAAAGAGAAGTTGAGAGAAACAAGTAAAAAAGATGCTCAAATGCAACTGATTTAAAATTAGGGGCATTGATGGGGAAAATCTGTAACAAGTGACAGAATAAAGATCCCATTTTGAATTCGTTAACATCAATCAACACAAAGATTGAAATGCTGACGCTACATGTTCTCCAGATAAAAATTAAACTAGATAAAATATTGAGAGAGAGAGATAGCAATGTGAGATGAAACAAGAAGACAACGTAACCGACTAGAAAGCTTAAAGGCTTCAAAGAAGATTGAAGATGAAAGACAAGTTGTATGTGAAACTTTATTTCTGGCTGAAAGAAAATCGCTGAACTTATGTGTTTAGAGATTCGGTATGAAATCATCGCCATCACCGTCCAGCTGTTTTGATTCCGCCCCCCCTCTCCTCAACCAGGGGCTTCTCTTCAGCATTAAAATCATAATGAAAACCGACATTTTTACACACAAACGTACCCACACAGACACAAAGAGAGAGAGAGAGAGAAAGAGAGAGAGAGAGAGAGAAAGAGAGAGAGAGACACACACACAAATATACAAAAACACACACACACAAACTTTATTTAAGAAAATGAATTGAAAAACGGAGCGATGAGTTGCCTTTTCCAGTTCGTTGATGATTAGTCGACAGATGTTACTCGCAAAATACCCACCCACCCATTGATCTATCTATCTATCTATCTATCTATCTATCTATCTATCTATCTATCTATCTGTGTGTGTCTACCCCCCTCTCTCTACCCGCTCTCTCCCCATATATATATATATATATATATACGAGACGATCGTAGTCGGAATCATCGAGTCAATGTGAACGAACCTTTCCTTGCTTTGCCAGGGCTACATACAGTTTGTTAATTCATAGTTTTCCTTCTCCTAGACCGGTTACCACCCAAGGCTGTAGAACCCATTCTGTTCTACTATTTTCACATAACTTGGAGGAGAAGAATTGGTTTCATACCTTTCCAATGCGTATTAGCACACACACACACACACACACACACACACACACACACACACACACACACATATATATATATATGACGTCTCTTCCCATAACAACAAAAAAAAATCTGGAATGATAATTATAGATAAATTTTATTGAATAAATTGAATTTTATTGTATTTCAAGTTAATTTTGTGTAATTTTGGTAAACGTATCTGTGAAAATGAGATGTCAGTTTTATTATCTTTTTTGTGTGATTTAGACGACAGTTTATCCATCGCACCCTGTAGTGGTCTATTGATGGACAAACGATTTTTTTTTAATTGGTATCACCCCAAGCAAGGAAGTAAAGCCACTAGAGGTTAAGGGGTTACAGGGTGGGGCGGAATTAGGAACAAAAATATTAGTAATGAAGAGAAAGAAAAGTGGGACCAGAAAGACAGATTGACATTGCATTTAGATTTTTGAAGATTAAAGTTGGTCGGAAAGCATGGTGACGGGAGGGATTTCAAGAAGCAAGAAGTAACGTATAAAAAACTGTTAGCACCGAAGTTACGGCTGCATCTAGCTAAGCTCAACTGTTAATTTCATGAGATCTCTCCGCCAGTCTAGTACTGTGCTTAAATTCATACAGTGTAGGTAACATAGTGAAGACCTTATCCGAACAATTACCATGAAAGTATTTACAAAAAAGTCATAGAGAAGCAACCTTACGGTAGCGAATAAGTGACTGAAGCTAAGTCGCCAGTTCAGGACCAATAAAATTGTTGATACTTCTTGGGATCAGATCGAGGAGCTCCAGGAAAATAGCAGGGACATCGGACCATATATGGTAGCAATATTCTAAGTAGGGATGAATGGTAGACTTATAGATATGCAAGACAGATTCCGGAGAAAGAAATATATTGAAATTCTCCGAAACGAAGTAGAAACTGCATCCATTTTGTGGAACCAATCCTCTTCAAAGGCACAGGTATAAAAATCAAGATCTATTACTGAAGACATATGTAGTTAGTAAAAAGAATGTTCTTCCGTTGGAACTATTCCTGATACCATGTACAGATTGACATAACTTGACCCGAATGAAAACATTGTGAAAGTTGTAAACACAAGCACAACATGGTATATACAAAAAATTCTTGTTAAAACCAGAATAACCATGATATTGAACGTATTTACGTTAAAACCAAAGATGGCTACTACCATTAAAATAAACATACTTGTAAATCTTAATAATATTTTGGCAGGCCAAAAGCAAAGAATCCAATTTTTATAACCAAACTTGTTTCGATGAATACTTGCTCTCTAAATATTCCTTATTCATATATATATATATATATATATATATATATATATATATATATATATATATATATATAGTCTTAAGATGTACTATATTTATGGGATAAAGTGCTCAATATCAGAGATAGAGCGTGTGTAAATATAAATGTTAGATACAATCGTCAGGCCACCCGATCGTGGCCTGACGATTGCATCTAGCATGAAACAGATTGTCGCCTCTAAGTGTTGGCTTCTATGTTCACTTATATATATATATATATATATATAATACACACACAGACACAAACACAGACACAAACACAGACACACACACAAACACACGCAAACACACACACATATACACACACATATATATATCTATATATTCTGCTGGAGCCTCTGACTTGGTGGGATTATTTCTTTTTGGCACTGTCATTGTTATGACAATATCAGATTGTTCGAAGATGTTTACAAAGTCACAAAATAAGGATTAAAACATTCTCGTATAATATATCACGATGTTAATATTAACGAAACTCCAAAACAAATTGCTAGAAATTAGCTTACACTTTTTAAAAACTCTTATTTTCCCCCCAAATAATGAGTAAAGTAGTGTAGCTGTTTTGACTTGTTCTTCACAGAATACCGTCTTTCGTTATTATCTTTGTTTTGCAGTGTAGAAAAATGAGAAAAAAAGCTTTTTTCTATGCAGAGAAAAGCGAAATGAAAGTTCCGATCCACAGTTGCAGTTTTAAACGTAATACTTGTATTCAGTCAGTTATGTGCCATGCGTGATACACACTTAGACGATCCTGTATCTTTCTATACATGACTGACGAGGCAGATTTTTTCCAAGGCTATAGAACCCGGTCTGTCTATTTACTCATAGTTGGTGGGAGAAGAAGAAGATTCAAGGGTATTAGCACGTAAGTGAATGTAATGGATTCGACTGTAATTCGAACTCGGCTCTCCGATTTCTCAATCCGAGACGCAATACATTACTCCACCGTGCCTTGTATTACTTAAGCGTAATACTTATATTGATTTTCTAAGCGTAACTTAGATGTAGCATAAGGCTGAAAGTATGGGGCATCTAGTGAGGATCGAACTCACTTTTCAGTCGTAACTGATCTAGCAAGACAAGCTTGCTAACCATTACACCACGCCGAGGTGCCCAAAGCGTAATACTTATATCGTAATACTTATATCTCATTTGTAGCGTTGAAGAACATAGAGTTTGACCAATTCTTTTCAATATTTGGAAGAATAAATCGGATTTACTAAGGACCTTTTAGAGTCTGTGGGTACAGGGGTTGAGACCAGGGTGCGTCAGGCTACCCAGAAAGCAAAACTTTCAGCAGTTCACAAGAAATTAATGACAGTTCTAGATATAAAATGTGAGCTGCTCATCGACTTCATGGTGAATCGGTTAGTTTACACCGTCTCGAACACTGGACAGATCGAGGGAAGCAGTTTAGTGAAAGATGCATGCCGGGATATTTGTGTGTCAGCTTGCTTCGCTGCAACGCCACTCAACATAGAGGAAATTCAGAAGTTCATATTTCTTTTTTGTTACCTTCGAGTACTTTCATTGTCAATAATTGTTTGTAATCAGTTATAGTAAACAACAAATATTTTAATTGTTGCATTATGGAACCAGAAAGGCAGCTTTCAAGAACCTCGTACATACGGAGGTATCTCAATTGGATCGATTATAGTGAAGTATTAAGGAACATTATATTTACTAGGTTCTCATCGTTTTATGAAAGTCAACTCCTCGACCAAACTTGTTTTTCGTTTTGTTAAGCTATGATATAATAGCATATATGTCATCAAACAACTGCATATCTTTTACTTCTCTAATAGGAGACTGTATACTTGCTTTGTCGAACTCAGAATATTATATGGCCACATCAAAAGAGATTTCCTTTTCTCATTCATTAGAAACCACATTACAACTTCTGATTCCACTGAATGCATCAATCTAATAGAGGAACACTGTATTGATCTAAAAAAATCTTATATGTCTGATGAGGGCCCCAATATAGAAAGATTTCAGATCTCATCTGGCGTAAAACAAGAAGAGCGCCAGTCTATTTAATCACTTCCAAAACGAGGCGCTGCGCATGTGCAAACACAGATGTGATGAGATGGGTACTGACAATTTAAACATTCCATACAGCACCCCAAACGAGATAAGACGACCGCGATCTTGCTTTCCTTCCCGAGGTCATTATCCTAATGATCAGGCAGGTTATGCTGATGACAAATGCGCTCATAGTTGGGATAAGAATGATCTTGAATAGAAAATCAGCATCCTCCATAAAGTATTCCAAGAAATAGGGCTCAGGTTAAGTCTTTCTAAAACGGAAAATATGATCTGGAATTGGAATAGAAGCAGGGATGCTACTTACACTGAATCCATCATAAAAATTCACGATGTGGAATTAGTAAATACTAAACACTTCCGATACATTAGTGTATGGATCAGCTATGGCTAAATAAGTCCAGGAAAAAAAGAAATTGAACATAAGAAAGGTTTTGCAGAATACCACCAATTGCTACAAAACCAAAACATCAACCTGAAAGATCTCGTGTTGTTTCTAAATAGCTTAGTCAGATCGAAACCTTCATATGCATGCATGGCGCCAGACTTGTTTAGAATATCTAAACAGGCAGCTGTATGTAACAACTTCCTAAGATCAATGATAAAAAAAATGATTTGAGCCAGTGAAGCCTATGGGTCTTGGCAAAGGTCATACTTCTTTGAACATTGTGGACTGGCGCTACAGAATCACATAGAACTGTAACAAATAACAGAACTTATAAATTTTAATCGAAAACAGTACTGGCTGCTCGATCAACGAATGCCAAATGTTTCCTTGTAGGGAAACAACAGATATTACCATTAACATTAGCATTTTAACTAAATCCTGGCGTTTTAGATTGCTATAATCAGAATCTAAATCAATTGAAGGAGAAATCATCTGCAATAGTCAAAATGAAAAGCTCGTATCGAGCATTTAGAATTAGTTTTCTTTCTATACATGCTTCAATATACAAATATAGGATATCAAAGAGATAAAGATTGCTTTTAGAATTTGAAATATTTCTTTGTAACGAGTCGTATATATATATATATATATATATATATATATATATATATATATATTAGATATGCGATATTTATGAGTTACATTGCTTAATATCAGGGATAAAGCAGATGTAAATATAAAAGTGAACATTAAGGTCAACAGCAAATGACATTTGGCCTGAATCTCTGACGAAGCTTTAATAAAAGTGAAACATGTTAGGTTGATATACGTTTCCTATTTGTTTTTATTTTCGGATTCAGATCCATATTTGATCTGCATTTGATCTTTAACTTTGTATATTTAATATATATATATATATATATATATATATATATATATATATATATATATATATATATCAGAATCTGTCTATATCAATATTCGCCCGTTTGATAAAAATTGGTTAGCTAGTTTCTGTCTCACTAGGATTTTTATACTCTGGTATATTTAGTGTATTGAGCACTTTAAGTCTTTTCTTATTTTACTCGATTGAGTTTTCGACCAACTCGGATGTTTTTCGTCTTTTCTTCTTCTTCCTAAATTTTTCCCGAGATACCAGTTTGTTTAAATATATTCTTATTTGCAAATTGTCCTACCCGATTTCTTTTTATACCAGTCGTGTATAGGTATTAAAATAAACATATATATATATATATGTGTGTGTTTGTGTGTGTGTGTCTGTGTATGTTGCCATCTGCACTAAATGCGGCTTGATCTGTGAATCAGCGACTGGATTAAAGTGTGATTTAAGGTATAAACATAAAAAATGAACTGAAAACACTTTTGATCCTTCATACGTCAAATTGTCACATATCGAATACACACACACACACACACACACACACGCACACACACACACATACATATATATATATATATATATATATATATATATATATATATATATATATAAACTGCGTGGATTTAGCAAGCTACACTGCATGGAGAGTGGTAATTTCACGCTTCCTGAGATCTTTAGACATTGGTCTGAAGATCACATTGAGGCGTGAAACCAATTTCTACATCTCGACACTTCCCCAAATTGTGATATTATATATATATATATATATATATATATATATATATATATATATATATATATATATATATATATATATTTGTATGTGTTTGTATGTTTTCCAAAATTACACAAAGGTATCTAAAAGATGCTAAAGAGTAATTTTAAAATTACTGAAAAGTAAATTTAATCACTATATCGCAATTGATTCAATCCCGGCCTCCAGACGACTTCGGAATCTCCTAAGACTCTTCCGGACGGCCTCCTTGTTTAAGTTGGTGAATGCTGCCATAATCCATGCCTTCAGTTCATCTTTAGTGTAAGAATCAGTTTTATTGATCTCTCGCTCAAATGCGCCCCTCAAGGAGGTTGCAGTCTGTGGAGTTAGGTGGCCAAATATAAGGGGTGATGTGGTCGTGAGATTGTCTAACAACCACGGCCGACATAAGGTTTTCCAGTAGTCACCCTCTTGACCTAAGGCAGCATCTCTTCAAGGCACTTAATGTCGACCTCCGTGTTGAGTCTGAGGCCCTGTGGGAAGATGAATGTCGGCGGCAAAATGTAATCATCACTAGTGATCACTCCAAACACCATGATGTTGACTGGATATTTAGTTCTCACCACTCTCGGTACACCTTTGGGGACATAGTTTTCCCCTGTACTCTCCTCAGATTGACACTCAAACATTCTGAAATGTTCCTATTGGAGGAGTACAGTATACCGTTTATAAAAATTTGGTAGAGTGAATTATGCATGGTGCTCTTTTTCTCACAGACGCTGCCCATCTGACCCTACTGTACTGCGCAGTTTACAAAATCAATAGCAAACAACTCGCATTCGCAAAATTAAAAATATAAAATGGCGACAATATACCTATCGCACCCTCTGTATATATATATATATATATATATATATATATATATATATAGTCAGTATATCTTCATTCAAACACGTTTTGTTGAATAATGTCTACTTATTTATATACTGATTTTTCCAGTTGTCTTACTTGATATCAAGATGAAAAACAACAAGGAAGGTGCCGTAGTTTATTCAACCCAAGTGCTTTCGATCTTTTCTAAGATCATCTTCAGAAGTAAATTACAAATGAAAACATGCTATTGTTACTGCGATAATATAAGTAGACACAAATATAACAACATATTATGTAGGACGCTCTTTCTCGCTATATATATATATATATATATATATATATATATATATATATATGAGTTACAGATCAAGTGCAGATCAAATATGGATTGCAATCGGACAGGATGATAAAATGAAGCATATTTAGTATACAGTATTTTCAATTATGTTTGGGTCAGTTCTCATTGGTCATATGAGTGCCACGTTTATTAAAACCCAGTATAAATCTTTGTGCCTGTAGGTTTGTGATGATTCTTTTATATTTAATTGGGCATCGGGTGGTAATGTGTATTTGTAATTGTGTATGTGTGTCTATCTTTAGAAATTTTTGTTTGTGTGTTTATGAGAAATTAGATTTTAAAGTATATCGTAAATCCACAAACAAAAACGATCTAATAATTTCTATTTCCACCACAAC